GTGTGTGTGTGTGTGTGTGTGTGTGTGTGTGTGTGTGTGTGTGTGAAGGAGACAGATGTGAGCTCCATGCTGCCCCGTGGCTCCTGCTGCTGCTGCAGGACAGGAACAAGTCTGAGTCCAGCAGCTGGCAGCCACCAACACGGTCAGGCTGCAGAGAGCATCTCTGTTTACTGAAGACATTTGCTAAAAAACAAGATGAAAATAAAGGCCCAGCGTTCCCCGCAGGAATGCACGTCGCCCACCGTCCTTCATGTCAACGTCTTTCAGCTGCTTTAACCTTAAAATGAACTTTCACGACTCTCTACCACACTACTTTAAAGCTCAACATCTGTTTGTTTAACCAAACTATGGCCACTTTTGTGCTTTCTAAAGTCATCAAACCACTGCCTTTACATAGGTTGGTGGATAAAATCTCTTTCAAAAATAAACAAGGCCAAATAAGTATTTTTATAAATCTCTGAATAAATCCAGTCAGCCTACATCCTTTAGATGTTTGTGTTTCTTTTATTGAATAATTCAAATTTCCTAAAGTGGTACTGAAGCTTTCATTGAGCTACTTTTAGAATTGATGCTGAAGTATGAAACACACATTAAAACCTCAAAAATTTTAGCCAGTTTAGGAGAACAAATCTTTAAAAAGGCACACAGTTTATAGAAATTGTTTATTTAATCAGATTGTTTCAATGGAACTATTTGAAAGTGAATCAAATATTTGTTTCATTTGATCAAGTTTTACATTTTGGAGTCAGAGTTACTGACTTGGATTGTCATCTGCAGAAATAAATGAATACAAATATGCCTTTGTTGCCAACATTTGGCCTTTTTAAGTCACACACAAACAAGTTTGTGTTTCTATCCTTATTAGGATGTTGACCCTTTACCCTAAACCCCCACTGTGAATCCCTACACCTAACCTAAACTCAATTAGTTCTTAACCTAACCCCCAACCCAAAAATGGAGTTCCACCATATTCGGATCGGTCTTTGGTCCCTATAAGAACTACTGGTTGGTGTGTATACAGAAACTGACCTAAAAAGGTAACACACACACACACACACACACACACACACACACACACACACACACACACACACACACAC